AAGAATAGCAGTAGTATGAAATGAAATTTTATTTTCTAAAAGGCAGTTTATTATAAAAAAAAAATAGGAACATAAGTTTAAACGAGAATAAACGGATTATTACCTATGAAAAAACTTATAGGATTAAAAAAACAATAATAAATTCTCTTTTAATTAGGTACTATACCTAGTACCCATAAAGACAAGGACATAAAACATTAAAAAAAAATATGAAAACAAAACAACTCAAAATATAAAAATAAATAAATAAAAATCTATTACAAAAGGGCAGTTCTTATTAAAACTAAAATTAGAATATTTAAAAATATGGAACTGCTAAAACTAAAAAGTTTCAATAGGCTAAGTATCTACCTATCTACCCCTATTTTAAATTAACGAAAAATATGAAATGTTTAGATTTGATGAAATTAAATTAGCATTGACTACATTTATAATCTTTGAACGGCGACAATCACATAGGGATTAGGGAGTATCAACAAATTCGGTAGGTACACTTTTTGTGAAAGCATTTTTCACAAAAGTCACAGCCGATGTTTTTCTTATCTTCATCCTCTGTGTCACTATAAAGATCTTCTTGGCATAATGAAGAGGATACTTTAGATTTGGATGAGGTGAGTTTTTGGGTATTTTTTATTTTTTTCTTTTTGAGAGTTTTCTGAACTTTTTTTTTGAATTATTTTCTTTTGTCATTTTCCATTTTTCTTTTCTTCGGGCTACCTATACTTGTTTTTTTTTATGGATTTCGTCTTTCTTTTTATTATAGTATTCTCTCCATTTTTCAGAAGCAATTGCACTAGGGGTTTTCTCTCCTTTATTAAAGTCTGTTTTTTTTCAAAGATAAAGTCAGAATGACATTATGTTGGCAATGCAATGTAAAATTGGCAATGCTTTCAAATTTTGTATGTAGAAAAGGCTTCTGTTGCCAACATAGTTACAAAATTTTTGACTTGGGGAATTATCTTTAAAAAAAAACGGACTTTAAGTGAAGTTAAAAAAAAAATTATGTGGACGAAAACTAGATGAGAAGAAATTATTTAAATAAAATCATGTTGGTTCGGCGTCCAGAGTTCCTCATTAGAAAAACATGCTGGTCGAAAATCAGATCCATATTTAGATGTTCGACCACTTGAAACTACAGTGGACGAGAAATGGACTATAATAAGCTAGTTTCTCGACCACATATTTTTGCAAAATCTATATCCAATTTTCTTCGCAATATTTAAATGAAAAGTGGTGGTCGTAAACTAAAAAATAAAAATTATATTCAATATTCAACTAACAATTAAAAACAGAAAGTCATCGCATCGCGACTTTTCTAAATATTATTATATGAATTGAAAATGGACGACTTGAAACTCAGTTCTCGACCACCCCGGTCGTAAACTAAATTCTGATATATTTTGTATATTAGTTCCCGACCAACAAAAATTTTATGTAAAAAATTGTTTCACACTATATTTTATTCGTAAATTCGATAGAAAAATTAACCTACTATAACATAAAATCAATTGGTGAAAGGTCTTACATTCAAGAAGAACAATACTTACTATTTTCTACATCAAACACACATACACTTTTTATAGATATAATGCGTAAACAACAACCCCCTTGACAGCGATTATTCAAATGAATTTTGAAGGCGAAACCGTTTATCGCCTATTAAATCTCAATGGTATTTTAGATTGGGAAAACTGTCTGGCAGCCATTTCAGCATTTATTGGACAAGAACGAGTGCATATTTACTATTTATTCCTGATTAAACGTGAATGTGGTCGAGAACTAGTAGTGGTCGGCAAACCAGCGCAGTCACCCTATATGTTCACTTTAATGGACTTGCAGTTTTTTTCCTGTTTATACTTGCAGGCACGTTGTTGCAAAAAATCCGCGGAAAAATCACTTAAGTGCACATAATAGTTATTTATGATATAAGTGTTAAAAGTACATTTTTAAGGCACGCATGTGAAAGTTTGCAGAATGAGCGAAGCGAATTCTGCAATTCACATAAGTGCCTTAAAAATACTTTTAACACAAATATCATACATTATTTTTTCTACAAACGGCAATAAAAAGCAATAACCAGTAATAAATTGGATTTTCAAATGAATAATAAATTGGAAGCACCTTTCCTACATAAAATTATTGAATTTGACATTTGTCAAAAAGTCCAAACAACCAGCACCTTGTTTTACAGGTAATGAAATGTCTTGTCAGTTTCTTGAAAGTCTGTCGTGGTCAGTAATGATTTTTGCTTAAAATGCAACAAAATACAGAAGAAACAGGGGGTTGCATAAGTCCCTTGAAAAATATAGATGAGGCGGCCAATCGGGCTACCTCAGTTGTTCAAATTTCACCATTAATATCAATGTAAATAACTAAAAATACAAACTTTTTTTGACATTCGCTCTCAAAATTTGATGTTTCATTTTTAACACTAGTGCTATAAAGACTTTATGGCACTAGTGCGATAAAGTAACATTTTTAATGCTTCGGGGGAGTGTTAATAATTGCATTTTTAACACGTTTGTAGAAAAATGATTTTATCTGTTGAAAATTGAATGAAATTGGACTTAAGCAAATTTGTATAACCTATAGCGTCTGAAGTAAAGATAGAATGGACTTAAGTGATTATTCCAGTGAAGCAGAATCACCCTACGGACTTATAGGTGAAGTAATCTCAATTTGGTAAAAAATGGACTTAAGGGTTTTGCTTGTACGCCCACGATATGAAAGATAACCAAATATGAAAATTGAAAAATGTAAAAAATATCAGGAATATTATTTTCTTGCCTACATTGATCACTTGTATTTTTTGCATCAGGTATATTGTTAAAAAAAAAAGATTGACACAAAGAAGTTTGGGATACAATACAATAGTATATTACATACCGAGTAGGGAAGTGTTTCATTACTGTCGAGAGATTTATATAGTCAATCGAGACGCGAAGCGTCGAGGTTGACTATTAATCTCGAGACAGAAATGAAAACTTTCCTCCGAGGTTTGTATACTATTTTATTTGCAAGCAACCATTAATTATTAATTATGATTAGTCATTCAATTCTGTGATTCAATTTTTTTAATATTGAAAAAATAAAACAAACATGCCAAAATATGTCATTCACCTGTTTTGACGTTTGTACGTGACATGTTCTCATTGTTGCCAGCAAAGGTAAATAAATTAGAGTGAGGGAAATCGTTGAGGGAAGTCGAATAGGGAAATCGGTGAGGGAAATCGAAGAGGGAAGTGACACAGGTAAAGTGTCACTTTCAAATTTTTAAAAAGTCAGTAATGTCGAGATTACATATGGTTGCAAATAAAAATATTTTATTTGCAAAGGTAAATAAATTAGAGTGAGGGAAATCGTTGAGGAAAGTCGAATAGGGAAATCGGTGAGGGAAATCGAAGAGGGAAGTGACACAGGTAAAGTGTCACTTTCAAATTTTTAAAAAGTCAGTAATGTCGAGATTACATATGGTTGCAAATAAAAATATTTTATTTACAATCATACATGTAATGTTGACTTTACTGACTTTTAAAAAGTTCGAAAATGTCACTTTTTTGACTTTTACTTTCGGCCCACGGGTCGAAAGTTTACTTTCGACCCGTGGGTCGAAAGTGAATGAAATTTTTAAAATTTATTGTATTTTTTGACTTTTACTTTCGGCCCACGGGTCGAAAGTAAACTTTCGACCCGTGGGCCGAAAGTAAATGAAATTGTTAGTTATTGTATTTTTTAGTTTTAATCCAAATGAAAATTTCAAAATTCGAATGATTGTAAATAAAATAGTATACATACCTCGGTGAAAAGTTTCATTACTGTCTCGAGATTTCAGTTAGACCTCGGCTGCGCCTCGGTCTAACTTAAATCTCTCGACAGTAATGAAACACTTTCCACCTCGGTATGTAATATACTATTATTTGCAATTATATATGTAATCTTGACATTACTGACTTTTTAAAAATTTGGAAGTGTCACTTTACCTGTGTCACTTCCCTCTTCGATTTCCCTCACCGATTTCCCTATTCGACTTCCCTCAACGATTTCCCTCACTCTAATTTATTTACCTTTGCTGGCAACAATGAGAACATGTCAGGTGAAAACGTCAAAACGGTGAATGACACATTTTGGCAAGTTTGTTTTATTTTTTTTATTATTAAAAAATGATATAACTAATTTTTAAATAATGGTGTGCTTGCAAATAAAATAGTATACAAACCTCGGAGGAAAGTTTTCATTTATGTCTCGAGATTAATAGTCAATCTCGACGCTTCGCGTCTCGCAGTAATGAAACACTTCCCTACTCGGTACGTAATATACTATTATTTGCAATCATATATGTAATCTTGTCATTACTGACTTTTTAAAAATTTGGAAGTGACACTTTACCTGTGTCACTTCCCTCTTCGATTTCCCTCACCGATTTCCCTATTCAACTTTCCTCACCGATTTCCCTCACTGTAATTTATTTACCTTTGCTGGCAACAATGAGAACATGTCAGGTGAAAACGTCAAAACAGTGAATGACACATTTTGGCAAGTTTGTTTTATTTTTTTTATTATTAAAAAATGATATACTTAACTAATTTTTAAATAATGGTGTGCTTGCAAATAAAATAGTATACAAACCTCGGAGGAAAGTTTTCATTTCTGTCTCGAGATTAATAGTCAATCTCGACGCTTTGCGTCTCGATTGACTATATAAATCTCTCGACCGTAATGAAACACTTCCCCACTCGGTATGTAATATACTATTCCAACCTACAAGAACTGTGTCAATGTACCATCGTCACCAAAAGTAACTGGGACAGCATTATATTAGCTCTTGTACTATTATATGAATATAATTGTCAATTATTTGTCAAACTATGAATCAAATGCATTGAAATGAATGACAGTACAATTAGTCCAGGAGATTATTATGCATTATTTTTGTCCCAGATACTTTTGTTGACGATGGTACCTATAGAAATAGAAATTTTAGTAAACACATAAATACAAACCTGGAGAATGTAATAAGAATGGAATGTTATATTGAGTTCCAATTATTAATGGGAACTTCTCCTTCGTTTTTCCATGGTATAGAAATTTGAAGTAGCCTTCGGTGGATTTGGAAAACTGTTGGTAGTTTGGTTCGCCCTTTTTTAGAGTTCCATACACGAACACTTTGTACAGGATATTTGGAGCCATAATTTTCTGGAATATCATTTTTGAAGAATTAATTTAACTAGGTACTTTTATAAAAAATCAATAATTGTGAGTACGGCACTGGATGTTGATTGTTGATCTATCATCACAAAACATATAAAAGGAATGTTCTCATATCGATATTTTATCACTGTTTCTATCATAGGCATTTTATATTGCTTTTACTTATTTCTATGTACCAAATGATATAGAGGAAGGGTAGAATAAGTGTCTGACAAAAAGTATTCAAATGGATCTTCTCGAAAGGGGCTTGCTTGAGAAAATTGCAAGCTGACTAAAAAAATTGCATCATTTTAACACAGACCTATTTCAAGAAATCGATAATGGAACAATCAAAGCCGTTTATAGCTCATTCCTAGTTCTTGTCGGTTTGTTGACATTTGCAAAGAAAAAAAAAGAAACACAGAACAGCTGATTAAAATGCGGGGCCGCGGCCTACTCGATGGTAATTTAAAAACACTCCCACATCCTCTTCCGCGAACATAAACAAAATTATACTAAACGATGAAATTGAGTGATTAAATTGAGATCGATAGTGCGGTTTTCCACTCACCCAGGTAAGAAAAATCAAATTATTTCAATGATTTTTTAAGGCAACAGGTCCTATTTCAAGCACACACCTCACTCATACAAAGAAAAGACTCCTAATGACATTTGAATTTTTGTTTCAATGCTAATTTATACAATCACAATTTAAGATAAGCATTAATAGATAATAAAATTAAGATTTGAATGTACCTATACATTGGCCATAAGGCATTTATACAGTAAATAACATTGGAATTAAAATAAATAATGCCTAAGAAGCATACTTAAAGTCTTGTTCAAATTTACACAATTTATTATCACCACAAAGTGAGTAGGCGCTTTCATTTGATTGTCTTGACAATAGTAGTTTAATTTCAAGCAGAGTTAACTAAATAGGAACAATGAACCCTGCAATGAACATTATTATTTGTTGTAATTATTTTAATAAATATTTTTCCAGTTGGTTTTGTTTCTGAATAATAAATAAATTCGTTACATGTTTGTTTATTATTCTTGGTTGTTGGATGTCATTTGCTTGCTGCTAAACATGGTTTACGACTTCCTTTCAATTAGTATTCACTGCATAAGATGTTGATAGATATCGGTTGGGATCTTTGGATCAAGATTTTATAGAACATTCATATTATTAAATGTATTAGTTCTTTTTGTTTGTTTTTAAATTTGTTCCTGACAATTTTGTCATTACTTATTTCTCAGTTATTATTTAGTAAGTATTTCCTTCAATCACATTATTTAACTTTTTTCTGTTGGTCCTCAACTTTCCTCTATTTTTGCTTGCCATAGGTAGGTAGGTACTTTCTAAGATCGTCTTTTTTCTTGAATATCGTCACTGAAGAAGCACTGTTTCAGCTGGGAGTTGATTTCAGACTCTTCATTCAAGACTCTTGTAGAAAGTCCTCCCTACACACTGTGGAATAGTTTTCTTTCTTAAGTTGGAGACCGAGTTGGAGACTGTGACCCCGTTGTCTCTGGCCTGTGTTTAAAGCATAGAGCTCTCTAACTATTTCACTGTTGTTGTGGAGTGTTTGGTACCTAGGTGAAGATAAAATCTCCTCTTGTTCTTCTATTTTGGAAACTCAGCAGTTTTTGTTGTTCTAGTCTTTCCTCATATGTAAGTAGGTCTTCTTTTACCAAGTTGCAATCCTGTTGGTTTTCTCTGTACTTAGGTACTGCTTCAAGGCTATTGAGGTCTCTAATGAGGCCTAGGTGGGTGCCAAACCTGACCTGCATATTCTAGAATTAGCCTGCAGTAAATGTTGTACAGTTTTATAAACGCTTCTTGGGAGGTGTTCGGCAAGACCTTCTCTAGGAGGAATAACTTGCTATTGACTTTTTTGCATATTGTTGTTACATGTGCTGACTGGTCTCTGGTTATCAGAACTCCAAGGTCATTGTGCTGCTGAACACTGACCAGTACTGACCCATTGAGAGTGTATTCATTTTCTGGGTTATTTTTTCCTAGATGGAGTACCACACATTTTTTCACGTTAAGAGGTAGTTTCCAGGACTAATGAGGATGTTCCGTCCAGACCAGAGAGCTGCCAACCTTCATGGCTTTTATCTTCTTTAGGATGTCTTGAGTTGTGATTTGGATAGTTGTGATTTCATTTGGTACCCTTACGAAGCTTCATGAATTAATGCCACAGTCGTGAATACTATAGAAAACTCGTTTGCCAAAATAATAATAATAATAATAAATATTATTATTATTTCCCAATTCAATTAACAATACTTACATAATATACCTGGATAGATGGTGGCTTTCTTGTTTTCGTGTCTGTGCACATTTCCCCATTTGGAGTTCATAAAATAAGAATGCCTACTTTGGTGTTTAGTTGTGATCTAACGTATTTGTGTAATTTTTTGGGGTCCTCAAAGTTTTGTTAGGCTATCAATGTACGCCAGCTCAGCTTCTTTGATTGGTTCCCTGTAGTTAGTGAGATTGTTGCTACGGAAGTACCTTTTCCATAAGGCGGTTTTTTCCCTACAGTCTCGGATGTGGTTTTTAGTTATCCATGGTTTCAGGTTATTCACTCGTTTGGTTTTGTATTCGGTGTTGATATCTAATTTTGTCTCTAGTTTTGAGTGAAAGCTGGCCCATACGTGATCTATATTGTCATCAGAGTAGAGAACTTTTTCCCATTTGATTTGCGATATATGATGATTTATATCATTCATGCATCTCTATGTATAAAGTTCTGATATCACCTAACTTTAAAGTGAATGCCTATTTTTTCCTTTCAAAAATAATTATGCTATGACCAAGATTGTCCTATAATTAATTGTTCATGTCTTCAGTATTACCTGATTTAAATATTGGATGTCTTATCGTACCATTTCTTTTCAATTCCGCCGCAAAGATTCTGCTTAAAAGCAAGTCATTTTTTCATTCAGTAAGAATAGGAAGAATCTCGTTTTTAAAATTAGGTATACATCTAGTTTTGTGATCTCATCAATAACCTGGGTAAAATTCCAATATCGTTTCTTCAACATCGGATTCATTCGATAATTCTACTTCTGATATTTTTGAATTACCCATTATTTCTCTGTATACCTACACTTACGAGTCAATCATTCCGATTTCCTTATTCGATGAATTTTCTATTTTTTCACCAATACAAGAAAAATTATAATTTGAATTATTTACAATACATTTCTGCTCGACCTTCTGTCGATTTACAGATAAGAAATTATTATTATTTCTATTTTGTTTATCAAAAAACTTATTCATAAGCACCCATTTTTGCATTTTTGTATTAATACCTGCCGTGAGTTAAAAATATTGAATTTTTTTGGCTTTAATTTTTTTTTTTTTATTTATTTCCAGAAAATTATTACAATGTTTATTTATTTATTTATTTATTTATTTACGGGCAAGACCCATTAAAAAAAAAACAACAAGAAACATTAAGTACCTTACAACTAAATAAACATAGGCCAGTAATACTTGGCGTAGTAACAGGATAAAAATACATATAAATTATTAACAGTAAAACATTAAATCAGTTATAGGTATAAGAAAATAGAGGACAAACATAAATAATGACTGATCAAGATGACTAGAAATTCTTAGCTATCGAACTTGGCATCACAAACAAACGAGGAGAATTAAAGAATGTTAAACATTATAATACCTATAGAGGTAATCAGTTACCTATACATAGGACTGGTGAAACTTAAAAATTAAACTTAAAATCTACAAAAACCCACCATGTGCATAATGCCTCTATATAGCTATCACAGGGATATGTGTACCTAACTCAATTTTAGACATGCTCACAGTGTGAAGGAAATACCTACATATTAGGCATTGCTTCAAATAATAAAATATATGAAATACAAAAAAAAATCCATAATAATAACAATAGACAAAATCTTTAGAAAAATCATATCTATAACAAAATAAATTTTTAAAAAAAAATAACAAAATAATATGTATGTAGTTGATACTGAGGTTGATACTAATGCTTATGTTCTGGGGCGCTCCAGGATCGAGATTTTCTTGTGAGAGATGAAATTGTGGGAAATGTAATTATTAGCAAAAGACTATATTCTTAGCGGATTGCAAGCAATCCATTTTTTCAACTTTTGTTTTACAGCTGCTCTAGTATGCTGTAAGGTTTTATATTCGTTGGGAAGGTTATTGAAAGTTTTAATGGCAGTGATGTAGCTGCTCTTTGTAAATAACGTTCGATTAAATTTAGGTAGAATAATATTTTTACTTCTGGTGATGCTAATTGACTGCATAAAGTTACTCTTTAATTCCTCATAGAAATAGACAAGAGATTCCAGCATAAAGGACTGATGCAAATTCAATTTGATTCACTTGATTTTTTAATCTATTAAACTCAAGTACCTATCGGGTGATTGTCTATATTTTGTACTCACACCTATCTCACTGCTTTGAAGAGGTACCCAGAAATGTGAAATGTAAAAGTTGTAGGTAAATATCAGGAATATTGTAATGAAGTTACTTACATGTATCTTACGTATCTTACATATCTAAACGAAACTGTTAAGAGCTTTTACTTGGTACTGTTCGACTGCTTTAATATGTTTGTTCCAATAAAGGCACATTCTTACAGCGAGAAATTTCCTATCTGGTTCTCTAACGAATTGAAAAATCTGATTTTTCAAAAGAAAATTGCTCACAGACGATTCAAGCGGTCGAATAGAGGTTTGGATTACTTTGCATTTAGTACACTTCGGCGAGATTGTAAAAACCTCACCAAAGAGTGCTATAAATTATACATAAGTGATACTGAAAGAGCCATAGGCACCAATATGAAAATTTTTTGGAACTTTATTCACTCCCAATCTAATCAGGGTACTATTCCTAACGAAATGTTCCTTGCCTCAGAAAAGGCGTCCAACGGTGTTGACATAGCTAATCTTTTTGCTGTCTATTTCTCCTCCGTCTATAACCCTCAGAGAAATTCCGACGCTGGAACCTTTGCTGATCGATTTGAGAATGTTTCAAGCATTGTCATAGATCCAACAGATATTGAGAGGGCTTTAACGCAATTGGACATCAACAAGTCTGCAGGACCTGATGGTATTCCCAACAAAGTACTAAAATCTTGTTCTAACACTTTGTATCTTCCTCTGTTTAATATTTTCAACAAATCATTATCTTCTGGAATTTTTCCAGAAATGTGGAAGCTCTCCTACGTTTGTCCTATTTACAAGTCAGGCAGCAAAAATGATGTAATAAATTACAGACCCATCAGCATTCTGTCTGCGATTCCAAAATTATTTGAGCAGTGCGTGGAAGAAATTCTTTCAAAAATATTTCATCAGATTGTGATCAGTCAACAGCACGGTTTTACAGCCGGTAGATCCGTTGAGACGAACCTGTTTCTCTTTACAACATTCATAAATTCATCATTTGCTAATAATGCAGAAACTCATGCAATATATACTGACTTCAGTAAAGCCTTTGATAAGGTAAATCACAACATCCTTCTTTCAAAGCTTTCAAGTTTCGGCGTTTCTGGACATTTATTTTCATGGATGAAATCATACCTTACTAACAGAATGCAACAAGTCAAGATCGATGGCTATCTTTCTTCTCTTTTCCGTGCATCCTCTGGGGTACCCCAAGGTTCTCACTTGGGCCCCCTTCTATTCAGCTTATTTATCAACGATTTAGGATCGTTGCTCTCGTCAAATTTTTTACTTTTTGCTGATGACTTGAAGTTGTATCGTCAGGTGACGTCAACTCAAGACATACTTATTTTGCAAAATGATCTTAACATCGTTCACGATTGGTGTCAGCTTAATTACATGTCCCTCAACATCGATAAGTGCTGTTGTATAAGATTCAGTAGACGCACCCATAGTGTTCCCTTGCAGTATTACTTAAACAATGTTCGCTTGTCTGAAGTTTCTATCATTAAAGATCTTGGTGTCTATCTAGATACTAGGCTAATGTTCACTGAGCATTTTGAAGTGGTAATTGGCAGGGCTAATAAAATGTTGGGGTTTATTAAGAGAGCTACTAGGGACTTTACAAGTATACGCCCTATCAAAATTCTTTACACATCACTGGTCAGGCCCGTTCTTGAATTTTCATGCATAGTTTGGTCACCTTACTATCAGATCCACATCAATAGGCTTGAGAGTGTTCAACACAAATTTATTAAGTTTGCAAGGTACAAACTTTCTTTGAGTGGTGTAATTCTCAGTGATGACCTGACTATGACTTATTTAGACTTATCTACTCTTGTTCGCAGAAGGGAATATTTTGATGTCTGTTTTGCATTTAAAATTCTTAACTACTACATAAAAAGCCACGAATGTCTTGAATGTTTTAATCTACACATTCAAAGTTATCAGACACGAAGTAAATCTTTACTGCACATTCCTTACTGTCGAACCTGGTACCTACTATTCAGTCCTGTGAATAGAATATCTGCCAATGTAAATAAGTTCTGTGAGGGCCTTGAGTTCTTTGGTTTATCTCTGGATAAATTTAAGACGAAGGCCAGGAGAATTGTTTTAGGTTAGATTTTTTTTTTTTTTTTTTAGATGTAAACTCTGTTCAACTTAAAATGTATTTTTCTTATACGTAAATAAATAAATAAATAAATGTATGCAGGGTGTGTTAAAAAAGTGTGGGAAGCAAACTTTTACTTTTTAGATGGAACACCCCTTATATTATTGACCTATTTGATTAGCATTTCAAACTTGATTCCAAATATACTAGGTTTTTTATGTTTATTCCATTCCTCATAGTCCAGCCTCTGAATATCCCATTTTGAAGAAATAATGTGGATATTCCACCCCTTTTTTTCTTATTTTTTTCAGGACTATAGGAATAAATCTAAAAAACCTAGTATATTTGGAATCAGGTTTGAAAAGCTAATTCAATGGGTCAATAACTTGGTAAAGAATATATGGGGTGTTCAATTTAAGGGAGTTTAACTTTGCTTTGCCACACTTTTGTGACAAAAACCTGGTATATTTGGAATCAGGTTCGAAAGGCTAATCAAATGGGTCAATAACTTGGTCAGTAATATATGGGGTGTTCATTAAAAGATGTTCAACTTTGCTTTGCCATCCTTTTGCGACATACCCTGTATACTTGTAACTAACTTCATCGAAAACTTTCTGATTTGACATTCCTGAGTATCGCTCACTGATCTAAAAAATAAATGGATAAACAATCATAAGGCTTGATTGGCAAAATTTTTGCGAAAATTTGGGGTCAACATTCTACGAACAGTTGTGTAACGGAACAGCCTAGCGCCTGCACAGTGTTTTATCTTTTGAACAACTGTTCTAAATTTTGAAATTCCTTCGTTTTCATTGGCCAGGTTTATTTGAATATATATTTCATATTCTTCTATATTATACAGGGTGCTCATTTGAAAGCTTTCCATTCCTATTATCTCGGAGTTGAAAATTTTCGGAAAAATCCCTGAAACATGTCAACTATAGATTTCAAGGGGGATGAGTTTAAATGCAAAATTCACCTCCCCCCTTTCAATCTTCCAGCCTTCAGAGCCACCCCCTAGAAAATCTTAAATGGGAAGGGGGGGGGGGTCAAGTGACACATCATTTTGGAGGGTTCTTGATTCCATACGTTTTGGTACTAAATTTTAATCCCTAAGTTCAACTGTTTTGAAAATATTGACTTTTTTCCTACTTTGACAGGCTGTAAAACCTAAACAGTCAATTTTAGAGGAAAACCGATCTTACATTTTTATCTTAGATAAACCATCATTTGACAGAAACTTTGAATTTGATCCATGATCAAAAATTTTGGTTGAAAATTCAATCCCAGGTTAAATTCAAAGTTGGTCTCAAATGATAGTTTATGAAAATCTAAGATAAGAATGTAAAATCGATTTTCCTCTAAAATCAACCGTTTCCGTTTTACAGCTTGTCAAAGTATCAAAAAAGTCAATTTTCAACTGTCAATATATCCAAATCAGTTGAACTTAGGGATTGAAGTTTAGTACCAAAATCTGTGGAATCCAAAATGATGTATCACTTGACCCCCTTCCCATTTAAGATTTTCTATGGGGTGACTCTGGGGGTTGGGGGGTTGAATTTTGCATTAAAAGTCATCCCCCCTCAAATTATAGTTGACGATACCAAAGTTGTAACCTTGGTTGTAACTTTCTCAGTTTGCAATGGTAGGGGCATAAGTATACTTACTACTTTCTGCACCTTTCGTGCTATGTGGCTTAATCACAAATGTTTCCTCTTTTTTTCCAGAAAACACTGCCTTCCAGCCTCTTCCAATGAAACCATCAGAATGAGATTATTAATTGTTACAGCTAGGTAAGAATGAAACTGCAGACTGCAGAAGTCCTACATACTAATGTTTTATTACTTTTGTTTTCTAGCAATAGGTATTTTTATGTTCTTGATTTACTTTTTTTCAATAAAATTAAAATTACTGAACTTGCCCAGCAATTTAAAGTTTTACACCGTTCATTGATACTACCAAAATGTAATGATAATGTGCTACTTGAAGAATATGGATTATAGATTTACTAGGAGAGAATATATTTAGTTTTAATCTGCATATTCTACCATCCATCATTTCTGAACAAATTATGTGAGGAGTATATCCTTCCTAGATTAATTGGATTTTTGTTGTTTGTTTCTCATTAAAAAAAAAAAAAACTAGTTTATCATTTTGTAGAAACATTTTAATAAGTATAGGTAGCTAGACATTACTGTATAAGTACAAAGTATATTCTGTTTTCAGAAGTCTAATATGGATGCTCTTAAGCCTCCTCTGCACACTAATGATGCTCAGCGCCCTGCTCAGCCCCACTTGGATAACTTCGACCCCTCAAGCTGCAACTTTTGACAATGAAACAGTTTCATACACTCCAAGTCTTGGCGTATATGCTAAATGCGGAAAACCGATAGGAAAAAACCATCCGGTTTGTACGTTAATGTCAGCAGGAGGTTTGTCAGCCGACTCAAAGGTTTATCCTAGTGTTTGGAAGGCAGCAACAGTGTTTTTGGCTATGGGACTGTTTGTTATGAGCATAACAGTTTGTACTAGTCTAGTAAGCTGCTGTATTCAGAGTTTGTTTCGAAAAAGTATTTTCACTTTGTCTGGAGCGGCACAGTGTATTGCTGGTGAGTAGTCTTATTCTAATATGTGATGAGATTTACTTAACTAACGGCAGGTATTATAAAACTGTTTTGACAGAATAACTAGAAGTTCTTCTCGTAGTAATTCCTGAAGTTAACTTTTAGTTATCTGTTAAAATAGTTTTATAATATTCATCCTAAGTAGAGTAAGCTGAAGGAAAATTGATACAAATGCTTATAAATAGTAAATAATTCAAAAGAAGTCAGAGTTACCGGCTTATAGTATAAAAATTTTCTTGGAAACATTGAAATGATGATTGTCCCTATGGCGTAAGCTTTATACTCTCAAGGTATCTCAATCAAGCTAATGGTAATGATTTCCAAAAAACTTAACTTCAATTTACTATAGACATTATACTATAATGGAAGTTATTTTAGGTATTTGCTTCATTCTTGGAGTAATGCTACATCCAATGGCATGGGGGACTCAAAGAGTACACAAACTATGTGGACCAGAATCGTCACCCTTTTATTTAGGGGATTGTTCCTTAGGGCTAGGGCTCTACGTAGCAATTGGCAGTACTGTTTTAACATTTATTTGTGCCTGTCTATCATTGCCTGCTGAAAAATCTACGAGCAGCGATAAGGTGCAGGATAAAATTTACGAGGGACAAACTTTGATATGTTTGACATAAAGAATGTCTCTAAAGGGTAAGTTGGGATTAATTAATTATCTATATCAATCTGAACTCTGAACAGAACATCACATAGGATAATTAGTGAAGTAATAACAGTATTAGTCAATTTTTGTGTGAGAATATTTAATTAAATTAAAACACTCCTAATTGATTATAAATATATTTTAGAGTGCTTGGTTTTGTTCCCTTTCATGCCTAAAGGCAGCTACACATACAAACACTTAGCGAGTTATACCAAAATCTTGTTCACTGCTCCATCTATCTATGGTAATGGTCATTGTAATAAATGCATACATGTATGCAGTGTGGAAAAAACAGGCATTCAATTTAACTATGCGGTTTCAAATTTACTATTTATCTATAGCTCTCTTTAAGCTACTAAATATAAGAAATAAATAACTATGTGATAACATTGGCAGTTGATAAGAACTAATGAGATTTCTCAAAAATAACACATAGTTTACATGTGTCCTTTATAGATCATTTTGCACAGAACATTACCATAAGAAATTAATGACTAAAAAGATTGACATTTGTTTAGAACTAAATGAGATTTCTCAAAAATAACACATGGAAACTATATTGACCATGTTCACATGTGTCCTTTGTAGATCATTTTGAACAGAACAGTACTACATTATATAATAACTAAAATAACTAAAAAACATTGACAATTGTTTAGAACTAATGAGATTTCTTAAAAATAACACATGGAAACTAAATTTCTAGGACAAATACTTATACATAATTAAATGTGACGACATTATCCATTCTTCACCCAAACACAACACTTGTTATTAGCAGGCAAATCGTACATGTGTTTTAGAGTAATGCCATTTTCTGCTGCCAATTTTTGCAAGTCTCTAATGTCCCTGAGACCGCAACTTGGATCTCTAGCTCTGATATTCCTATCAAAGTCAATATTTGATTGTGGTTCAATCACTCCATCGATCATTAGAGCGCCATAGGTGAAAATAAGACCATTATTTTTGAGAACCTAGAAAAATAGACAGACATTTGGGGTTGATAAAAAGTATTTTATTACATAAAATTTTACTTTCTGATACGCGGTATTTGAAGGTGCAGTGAAGGCCTAATCAATTAGTATTTAGTCTACAACAAAACTCAAGACTGAAATATTTTTCATTACTGCCTTTCTCCATATATTTACTAAGTCTTTCCATTTCATGCTCCCCCTCCTTAACTGACTGCATTAACATATTTACCTGACCACCATATTTGAAAAATCCTACAGAACAACTAAAAGGTGATACGTGAAACATGTTCACATTGAGAATATAATCAAAATCATTATCTATTTCCCATGGTCCAGTTTTAGCGTCTATTTTTATCGGATCTTTGACTCTGTTGTCTGGAACCTGATAAATTACATGTTTTGATGCAAATATTTTTTTACAGGGTGCCTTTCTTACGTCTTCAGCATACGCTCGGATACTGTCAAACATTTCCATTGCATACTCGCTAGGCTGTATCGTCAAATTGGGCAGTTTAGTAGCGTAATACGCCGCCTGCTGGCCAGTACCAGAAGCGACTTCCAGCATTTTTGCTGGAGTATTTTTGTCGATGTACTTTTCTAGGACTTCTAGGATGAAAAATTTGTTTCTGTCAGCAGAGGGATAATTGATTTTTTTACTAAAGAAAAATAGGTTGAATATTAATGCTGTTGTCTATGGGCAAGTTTACCTCATTTTTGTCGATATCAGCCTTTTGAAGACTTGAAGCATCTAAAATCCATTATATATTTAGAATATATTTCTTTGAAACTATGGGACTAATCTGGTGCCTTTGAAAAAATAGGAAAGTGCTGGGCAAATAAATATAGATAGGTACAGTAGAGTTGCGGCAATGTCAAGAGGAAAAACAAATGTATGAAGTTTTAGGAACCTTGTATTATGATTCTATATCAATATTTTTTTACTTTTATCGTAGCTCTCTATTTTCAAATACAGTGAAGCTTCACTAATCCGGACCAATAAAAACCAAGGCAATCCGAATTAATGAAACGTCCGGCTTATTGGAACCTTTTGAAAAGTCACGAAAATAATATGTCAAAAACTGTAGTTTATTAACTCAAAATAGGTGCTTATTACATAATACAGTTAATTTTTGCAAAATATCGTGTTTTTCCGCTAGAGTTAACATTTTTTGTGCTCTTTTTGGCGCCATGATGCTTCCTACCGAGCTTTCCACCCTTGTCACAGAAACAAACGCATCGTTTTCGGTGAAATAAGGGGATTCACCGACATAGACTTTGGTAACACCACCTGTAGCGATTGGCGAACTGCGCAAAAAATTATGATCCGGATTATAGAATCACAGGTAATCCGGATTATAGAATACATAATGTTAACATCTAGTATTTTGATTTTGCCCGGATTACTGCGAAATCCAGATTAATGCAGTTCGGATTAGCGAAGCTTTACTGTAGTTCAATTCAGCTTTTGTCAATAAATACCATGTATTTTGGACAATAAAGCATGTTTTCATTTGATATAAGGTGGTCATGTAAAAAAATCTTGTCCATATTACCAAGAGGTTCATATTAATGAATAAGCAATGAATTCTACCTCGAATATTAATGAGTGTTCACATTATCGCGACTCTACTGTATTTGAAATTTATTACTACATATTCCAAAATAGCTACTGAACATTTCCCTTAACATTGTTGGTTTGTTGCAACAATCACTTGGTGAAAAATTCCTGCCATTTATACAATATTTTCTTCGCAACAAACCAATAATTTGAAATCTTAAGCCAAATATTTTGATATTTAAATGTAAGTTTTGTGCATTGTGCATGTGCTTTATTATTGATATTGATATCGGGTCTTCAAAAAAAAAACCAATCGAAGATTGCTTTGACTACGAAAACGTACGTCGCATTACTGTTTCTTTATTCGTCAGGATTTTTGACAGGACATTTTGACATTAAATTTCATTGACAAAATTAAAGACAAATATTGCTAAGACATACGTTTAAAAAACCATAGCAATCTTTGATTGGTTTTTTTTTGAAGACCCGATATCTTTATACACATGAATGTATTTTATATTATTTTTTTGTTATTTTTATACACTTTTTTGTATTTAGCTTTTGAATAAATAATCGCTTTTGTGAGTGCTACATGTTTTATTCCAACTAAAATAATCAATAAACCTTTCATGCCAATAAATACATTAGGAATCTATATATTTACACACAAAAAAATATTTACATCATCAAATACTCATAATAAATTATTACTTTATTCTTTTAAACTATTCTTTTTGCTATTGTGTTTTATTTTTGGAGGAATATACACTCCATGTCCTGTCTTTTTAAGATGGTCAAATAACTTATTTTTTGATAAGAAATTCCCTTTACAAGTCACACAACAATGGCTCAGATCTATTTCATTTAAGTCTTGGGGATCCAGTTCTTTTTTATTAACTTTTTTCTCTTTTTTAGCTGATTTTTTCGGCTTCATATGACTTGCTATTGCAACTTCCTCAGAAATTTCATTAGTTGTTTCTTCTAGGTCATTTTTATTATTTGTTTTTGACTTTACTTTTTTACTTTTCTTTTTTTTGCTTTTGCTCGTGCCAAAATCAAAGTCATCATCATCTGAAACTTTTGCTATATCAAAATCTTCATTGTGATTTTGTGGAATATCTAAAACGTTTTTCTTTTTCTTTTTCAACTTCTTGGTTGAAGTACTTTCCTCTTCATCACTATCGATGTCATTATCTGAACTTTTTTTCTCACTAACCTCTGGCAGATTTTCTTCATCATTCCCAATAGATTCCTCATTTGATAATAAAGCACCATTTTCGTCGATAATGTCTTCTAAATTTTCCTCCTTCTCTTCTAATTCATTATATTCATCTAAATCTTCAGTAGTATTTGAATCTACATCCTCTTCTTCTAGCATGCTTTGTTTTAATTTTTCAATATTTTCTTTATGTCTTTTGCTAACTTCATGATTTTCAAAAGCTTTTGGATTTTTGAAGATTTTATTGCAGGCCACACAATATAAGTTGTTAAAGTTTTCTTCTTCTTCATCTTCAGAATAAGATTCACCAAATTCTTGTGCCAAATGTTTTTCAATTTCTTCCAATTCCGATTTAACATTGTCAAATTTCAACCAGTCGGCTTGTTTTTCACTGGCATGCATTTGTTTTCTTTCCAAACGTTTTTGTTTGCTTAATTGTTCTTGTTTTTTACGATTTTCTAAGGTTTTTGCTTCCATTTCTTTTTTAAAAGCTTGCACTCTTCTGTCTCGTTTACGGACAAAAGCTACTAGGTTTCTAACTTCTTCATTTCTTTCTTTTCTGGCTTTTAGTCTTGATTTTTTGTTTTCTCTGTCTGTTAGTTTAACCACCCTTCTGCAACCTTTAGCTAAAAGGGAATAAAAAATAAGACTAATGTGGAAAAATATTGAAAATCAATATAGAATTATTATTACCTTCTCTTATGTCATAAGGATCTAACCAAGAGTAACTTTTCTTTGTAGAGTAGCTCATCCAATAATCATAGAAAGCTTTAACATTTTCATTATCACTTTCTGAATTTCCAAAACTTGGAATTTCACAAAACTCTTCCTTTTCGTCCATATACTCAATATCTTCTTTAGCAATTTGGTCAAATACATTTCTATAAACTGCGTAGAACCCTTTATCATCATCCGTGTAACCTTTAAAGCATGTCGTGGTAAAATATTGAAAAACATCCAAGCTTTCATTTTCAAACTCTGAGCTAGGGCCTCTAAGAATTTGGTCTCTATGAGCATCGTACCAAGCTCGTTCCTGTTTGTCGCTCAACACTTCATAGGCTTGCTGGACTACTTGAAATTGCTCCTTAGCATTGTCCGGATCGTCCAGGTTCTTGTCCGGGTGCCATTTAAGCGCTAGTTTTCTGTAAGCACTTTTTATTTCACTATCGTCAGCTTCTCTGGATATTCCCAAAACTTCGTAGTGACACTTCATGTTTTTTGAAGATTATATAATTTGGCAGTGTTTGGATATCGGTTCGATTTTACTTATATTTGATTGGTTTTATTTAGGCGGAGAATATGTTAATTTTCAGTGGGAGCATGCCAAAAAATCATAGAAATATCTATATAACTACATACTCACCTACTTGACGTAACGTGAAGTTAGGTTATGTTGAATTTTTTGTTGACTGATGTTGGCAGCTTTCATTCAGTTATCAGTCAGATATGCCAAGCAAAATTCTGTTTGGCCGTCTAGGTCAATAGTTGTATTCCTTTCACACCTAGGAGGAGCTCCGAAACAGCTCCGGGGCGTTACGCGCTTATTCCTTTCGAAAAGTGTTTGTTGCACCTGAGTGCTCAAGCATGCATGAAAGCCAGCGCATCTGTTCCTTTCAAATCGGGGTCGACTAACACCGGAGCAAGTAGCTCTAGTGTTTCAAGCTCTTGAAAGGAATACAACTATTGGTGATCACTCTTTGCACACTACCAAGGATTGCTTATCGACCTCGTTTTTGGTAATCGCGGCATATTGGTGTATCACCATTGCCGACGTCATAAACTAAGTCATCAGCTGTTTGCGCCAGCGGTCTTAGTTTAGAATTTTTTTGATGAAAAATATCATTTAAGTTTGATTAACATAATGGGCGAATCGGGAGATGCAAACGAGATCTAAAAAGGAATTGTTTTAGAATATTAATTAATGTAGTGTTCATTGAATAAAACCAAGTATGCATTAAAGCAAGTCCGCGGAATCATAACCTGTGGTGGTTGTGCAAACAGCCTACGTCAAGGTGAGAAAAGACATGCTGCCTACGTCACAACTGGTGATTTGGCGCGGTGGGAGTCTTCAGATTTGTTCTAAACAGGTCTTATTAGGATAGGCTATATTGTAGTAGTAGTGAGTATCATCCCTGTTTTGCACAAATCATATTTTAATGGAGGTTTAACGATAATCATTGGCTTGGTGGCTTCAACGGTACGTGTAGCCATCGTAAAACTCCGATGGAAAAAACAACACTTATGATATACGGAGCATCGACTTTTCTTTTGTTGAATTTAACAACGCTTAGATGCTCAACGCTGCCAACGTTGCTTCAACAGTTGAATAAAACATCATGCTCTTATTTATAGGTCTATTCCAACCCATCAAAAACCGTCCAATGAACGGTTGCAAAATCTCTGTATACAAACTTCGGATTTTACGGAACCTTGGGACTTTACGCACAAATTATAGCTGTATTCCTTTCACACCTAGGAGGTGCTCCGGAACAGCTCCGGGGCTTCACGCACTTATTCCATTCGAAAAGTGTTTGCTACACCACGCATCTGTTCCCTGCAAATCGGGGGCGACTAAACACCGGAGCGAGTAGCTCAAGTGCTTGAAACTCTTGAAAGGAATACAGCTAATATGTATGCCATGAAAAGTGTCTGCTTATCGGCCTCGTTTTTGGTAATCGCGGTCATAATATGATGTAGCACCATCATTGCCAATGACAATTAATAAGTCGTCAGCTGTTTGCGCCAGCGGTCGTAGTTTTGACGTGCGTTCGGTATTTTAATCTGAGTTCTCCGAGCATAAATTCACCGTTCGTTTATTCAAAAAGTGTACTCGGTGCAGGCTCCTTCACGTTCGTTTATTAAAAATTCGTGACCTCTGAGTTAGAATAATAAGGAGGCGAAATGACAAGACAAACGTGCACCCAGTTCCGCCATATTGTGAGTGTTCTTCTGTCTGAAAGTAGCTGCTTACGAACTAGCACTTTTCTTATCTAAGTTAAAGTTAGTTTCTGACCTGAGCTAAGTTGTTAATCGTTAGTGTAATTTTTGTAAACTTGATATTTCCTCGTTGTTAAATTTAAAACTGACTTCGAAAGTTTCATATTCCATTTTGAGCAATAAATAATTAATTTCATAAACACACTAAACACCTTCAAAAAAACGCGTATTTCGCGCCAGCTTAGGTCAGCAAAGTTATCTCAGTCAAAAATCCGGGTGACTTAAAAGGGGCAAGGGGGGAAAGCAGATTCTTACTTAGTTGTGACAAATCGTACGCACAACTAAGTTAGATTCTTTAAGTTAGGTGAGAGAAGTGCTAGTTCGTAAGCAGCTATTATGTCACTTTTGTCATAGCAACGTGACAGTAATGCATTAGGGCCGCATTTTCCATCCGAAGATGTTTTAAATGCGAAAAATTTTTGAAGCGCAGAAATTCTATTTTTTGGGTCTTAGAAGGATTTTCTGTTTCAGTATATTGAAGTTTCTGTAGCAACTTCTTCTTTCTTGGCGTAATGCAGTAGATTTTTTACGTTTTTGGATAAGTTATAAAGAATTTATTTAGTTCGGCTCTGTGTGAGTAGCCATAATGTTAGTGTCTTCAGCCACGCCCACCGATACCGTTTTTATTCTACTATTCAAATGCTAACAGCGTCTCCCTATTATTCTCAATGCTATTATTCTACCTCAATGCCTCTGATTGCTCTGATACAGCGTTCAACTGCTTTGTGCGCTCGCCGGTCACGTGATCACGGCTCCGCTCTGCTCTTTGAGCAAAATACCGAACACAAGGATGATCTGAGTTCTCCGAGCTTGAATTTACCGTTCGTTTATTCAAAAAGTGTGCTCGGTGCAGGCTCATTCGCGTTTCTTTATTAAAATTTCGAGGGCTCTGATACAGCTCTTAACTGCTCTGTGCGCTCGCTGGTCCCGTGATTACTGCTCTGCTTCAGCACGCTCTGCTCTTTGACTAAAAATACCGAACGCAAGGTTGGAGTGCGTTCGAAATCAGTCCGGGCGTCTCAACGATTGCACACTAATGCACACTAGTCGTTCGAAGAATTTAACTCCGGTTGACTTTCACGCTCGTTTACGTTAGTTAGGAGTTACAACAGCGAACATCTCGCTCTAGAGTTCCTCAGAGTCACTCCAAAATCCACAATTCAGATATTATCATTGTTCTTCAATATTAACATTACCCAAAAGGGCTACTTGCACCCCCCGCAAATTTGGTGCATTAGTAGGCCTGTTTCTGCAGAAATCACATTTCAGTCAGAGCGAATTTCATTGGTTGAAAACAGTTTTTACACAGTGTTTATCCATCCAGGGTCAACTGCTAACTCGAAAGTTATTCCAGGAAAAAGTTAACCCGCGCTCTCACGGCAAGTTAGCCTATTTGACCCTGGGTTAAACTCAACATTTTCTCTTATTTTCTATCTAATTTTTTGAAAAAAGTGCTGGTTTTGGCTTGAATCTTGATATTGTGAAGAGATGGAGGACCTAGATTTCAGTGATGATGATCGAGATGTTTCAGAATTTCTAGAACATGCATTAGCGGTGCTTCTAGCACAGGCACGTAAGGTTTCGGTCAAATCCCTTTGCGGATTTTGATGACGTCGACTTTTTCGCACGTTTTCGCTTGCGAAAGGAAACAATTCTTTTATTTATTCTAGAACAAATCAAGCATAAACTTGACTTGAATTCCCAACAATAGTTATTTTTGTATCTAGTGCGCGAAATGCTCGACTATTGTTTTAACTCGGCTGCGCCTCGTTAAAAAAATCAAATCTCGATCACCAAAGTATTTCGCGCCCGAGTTGCAAACAATATTTTTTCTACAACTCCATTTAAATATCGATCATTCGAAGCCAAAACTGCATTATCAATTAAAGGTAGGTGAATTTTAATTATTTTTGGTTTCCTGACAGGTATGTGTCACCATGACACCCCAGTGTGCGAACTAGCTATTTCGCGCACTAGTGTGCGAAATAGTTAGTTCGCGCACGGCGTCATGGAAACTTTAAAAAATCAATACCTGGGAAAAAAAGTGTCACTTCGCAAACTGTCGTGAGTGTGCGAACATCATCATTTTTTGACAGTTGTAGAAAAACCTATATTTGTTGAGAATTCGAGTATATTGTTTATTTCTACACAAAATACACGAAACCAAACCTTCCATTTTCCGCTTGTGGGTGATCACACCAAAGTAGCATGCGATGTACGACTTGCTACTAGAAAACAAGAAGCATGCTATTATTTTCGAACCTAGAAAAATATGCCTCGTTTCACACCGGAGTGATTGGAACATGTATATTTTAATAGTTTGCGACGTACTTGCAAGACGCATACAACGGCACAACGTTGTTTATTTTTGACTTGTTTCGTAGAGGAGTGTCGATAAATATGGTAGCATTGTGCGACTTTGGTATGAAATTATGAATGTAAACATGGAAAACGCAAGTTGCGACGTGCTCCCTGCTTTTTAGCAGCAAGTGGCACGTCGCATGCTACTTGCGTATGAATGCCCACCTATGGAAAAGGAAAAAAAAAATAAAAAAATTACATAAATAAGTAAGGTTATGAGCAGAAAGTTTCAAAAAAACAATGATAGTGAGCTGGCAACGTTGCATAAGTAACGCCAACCAGTGATGTGCCTGTAGACATGGTCAACGTAAACAATTGATTGTCTACGCGTAGACAATTCGAATTGTTTACGTGAGCATTTGTCTACACATTGTCTACATGCGGCATTTAACAATAACTTATGGCTGGTTTATACAACATTTGCATAGTCGTAATCATAATCATAGTCTTAGTCATAAGAGTTAAAATAATATTTTCTTATGGAACCGTTTATACACAAATCATAATCATAAGCATAAGCATAAGCACAACTCAAAGTTGGCAACTTTTAACTTTTATGATTGTGACTAAGACGAGATCCAAACTGCGCAAGCGCCATTATCAGCTGTTACAGAGAAAAACAATTCAAATCTGCTATTTTAAATCTGTGTGTATTTAAATTGATCTTGAATCATTCTAGAGTATCCAAAAAATTGGTCTCCATCAAGCGTCCACATGTCTTTGAATAATGTGGCGCAAAACTCAAAAATAAATAGGACAGACCTATCACTTGTATGGTTTTCCTTTGCAGAATTTTAATTTCCACACTTTGTGAAACTTTGAAAAAGTATTAAAAGTAAATACAGGAGTTCGATT